GCTTCGTGTCGCCCAGCCCCAGACCGGGAGGGCGGGGGAGACGCTCATTCCTCCTCTCCTGCCACTTCATGCTTCCATCCCACCTCCATTCATGCGTCCATCCGTTCATTCATTCGTTCGCGTTCACCCGGCATTTATGCGTCCGGTCGCTCGGCGTTCAGAGCGCACCTACTGTGTGCTGGCGGGCCCTGGGCAGCTCCGGAGGGCCACAGCGCAGAGGGGGATCCCAGCTCCACCTCTCCTCGCGGCCTCACCTAGCTGACGAGGATGATGGCACAGGTGGGTCCCGGGGTGAGAGCAGGTGCCTGCACCGCCTCCGGCCAGGCCCCTGCTGCTGCTGGTGCAGCTGGCTCCCAGCGAGGCCAGAGGCCCCCTCGCCCATCTCCCAGCCCCCACCCCACCGTTCTCTCTGCCCCCAATCCTTTGCCTTCATACCTGCTTTCCCCCTCCCAAGATGGATGGTAAGTGGGGGCAGGAAGAGGGGAGCCTGAGGGGCTAATTCTACAAACATTTACTAAGCTGTGTGCCAGGCAATGAGCTAGAATAGTAGGGCTGCGGCTCGTATAGCCCCCGCTGCCTGATCTCAATCTTCCCGCCAGTCCAGGGAGGTAGTTGCTATTGACGAGGACACTGGGCTCACATGGTCCAGTAACTTGCCCAAGGCCACACAGCAGACACAGAGCTGGGATTCGGGCCTGTGATCCTCTCCAGGTTTACCCACCTCCTTGCCAGACAGAGGTGCCCGGTCCTCCAGACACGCCCGGGCTGTGGCCGGAGGCAGGAGGCTCACAGCCCAGCAAGTGCACTATGGCACGAAGAGAGCTGGGAAGTGGCCCAGAAGGACAGACTGACTCAGCCAGGGCATCAGGACAGACTTCCTAGTGCAGGAACACAGGGACCTGAAACATGAGAAGGTAGCCTTGCAAGGGGGATTGTGGTAGCCCCAGAGAATTCCAGGTGGAGGACACACAGCGACAGGTCAGTGACCTCCCCCGCCTCTCCAGAACGGGAGGGAGAACCGAAGCTGATCGTAAGGCACGAAGCTGATCGTAAGGCACAACTCTGTCCCTGGGCAGGATGGGTGATGGGTCACAGAATCCCTGCGGTTCCAGTGCTCTGTCCTGCCCGCCTGGGGTGCTGGCGGAGGTAGGGGAGTGGATGGGGGGACGAGAGAGGAGCGCCTGATGTGCGTGCACACGTGTGTGTGCGTGTGTGTGTGGAGGGGTGTCTGTCTCTCTGTGTGTCTGCGGTTTGGGCTTTGACTAGTGTCGGCTCCCCTGGCGTGTACCCCTGTGCGCGTGGGAATGTGCGTGTGGGCACGCCTTTGTGTCGCCGGCTCTGCGACTGTGCGTATGTGGGACTGGGTACGTCTGCCCCCACAGCGATGACTCATCTAATCGCCCACACTCGCCCCCCCAGCTAGAGCTGTGACTGTCTGCCATGTCAGGGCTGGGGAGGGGGCTGCAGCACAGGGTGGGATGGCTGGCAGACCGTGGGGGACACTCAAGTGACAGCGGCGTGAATGAGGTGCGGCTGCTAAAGCGACAGGTACAGCCCCACGTGTGTCTGCGTGGACAGTGGGTGTCAGTGGAGCCCAGCCCAGAGTTCGGGGTGCCATAATCCAGGGCCTCCCAGCCACCCTGGGTTGCAGTGAGCAAGGGGCTCCCCAGGCCCCCAAACCATTATACGTGGGGTGCACGAGTCATGGCTGGGAATGCAGTTTCACGGAGCCAGTCCCGTCTCCCCTTAAGAGGGATCCCAGGGACCAACTCCCCCTTCGTCCTTAGGTGCCCCAGAGATGGCTGCTCTCCAGGACGAAGGTCCGGAGTGGTTCCTTCTACCCTGAGGCAACAGATACTTCTTCCTATCAGATCCTCACCAGGGAGGAGGCTCTGGGCCCTCAGGTCCCTCTGGTCCTAAGTCTGGCTCCCTCATTCATGGCCTGAGGGGAGGAGAGGCCAATTGTTTGGTCTGCGTAGATGCTCAGAGAAAACCCCGGGATCCCAAGAGGGGCCGGTGATGCTCTGGAAGACCCACAAGGGTGCGGTGGTTGGGTCCCTGAGCCCAACAGCACCAGTCTCTGAGAGCTCCTGGCAAAGCACCAGTGCCCACGAGAGGAGTCCAGGGACCTCCTGTCATCCATCTCCAGGCTGGGCACTCGGCCCTGGCACCTCCTCGGCCCAGGGAGGCCCAGCCTGAAGCCTTTGCTTTGCCTGAGCTGTCTGTCAACTGGTGACACATGACCTCTTTCCTGGAACCAGCCAGCCCCGGCCTTGTTGATCTAATCCTGAACCTCGGAGCCCCAGGTCCCTGTCACATCCATCTTTAAGTGCGATCCCCTGGCACTGGCCCCAGGTGCTGCCCCCCCCATTCCTCCCAATTCCAGTGTGACTTACAGTAACCTCTGTCAGGCTAGGACTAGAATAATCAAAATATAATTGGGTTTTCAACTTGCTAAAGCTGCCACAGGCCTGGGTTGTGCATGGGAACACTCTGAGCAGGGCAGAGGTGCCTTTTAGAAGAACAGAAATCAGAAAACAAGCAGAGGTGTGCAGATGGGTGAGGGGCAGGCCAGCAGGGGCTGGGTTGTGGGCCTGGAATGGGGAACTCTGAGGGCCTAGTCTGGCAGGCCACTGAGGAGGCTACGGTGTTTTGTCCTCAGGCCCAACAACACTGGCCTCTGGGAGCTCCTAGCAAAGTGTCACACCCACGGGAGGAACCCAGGGACCACATGTCCTCTGTTTCCAGGCCACGTGCTCAGTCTTTGTGCCTCTTCTCCTCAGGAAGGGCTGGTCTTCCTTCAGGGTATAGGTGGCTTGAAGAGGATGGACGTCCGCTGAGAGAGCAGGGGGCGGGGGGCGGGCAGGGCCCAGAGCCAGGCATCCTTGGGGGCTTCACAAGCTACTGAGCATCTTCAAGCTGGAGCAGGGGCCAGAGGGCAGGGGCTGGAGACAGCAGTCTCTGCTCACTCACTCATATATTCACTCAACAAACACCGACGGCGCGTAAGCTGTCAAGAGGGGGGCCCTGCTGCTTAGTCTGGGGAGACCCCCAGGTGAACAGACGGGTGGGGGTGGGTATCATATGCATTAGAGTGGGAGCTCGTGGCGTTGGGGGTGGGGGACGGGATAGGACCGGGGTCAACAGTGATAGTGCATGTGAGCCCAGAGATAACTGCCCCCCTCCCAGTCTGTTGAGCCTTGTGTTGAAATGTGATTAGAAGCACAGGCTTTGGGGCCAGAAAGACCTGGGTCAGACTCCCAGCCCTGCTGCGCGCTGCTGTGTGATCCGGGACTAGGCACTTCACTTCTGTGATAGGCTGGGTAGTGGCCCCCAAGGAGGTCCGCATTCTAATCCCGGGAACCGGTGACATGCCACCTGGCGAAAGGGACTTTGCAGACAGGGCTAAATTCGGGCTCTTGCGTTGGGGAAGTTACCTGCGTTATCCAGGTGGGCCCGATATAATCACAAGGGGCCTTGTAATAAGGAGACAGGAGGGGCAGAAAGAGCAGGTGTGATGGCAGAGCAGAGGTGGGAATGATGCCAGGAAGGTGGCGGGCTCTGGAAGCCAGCAAAGAACAGACTCTCCCCTGGAGCCGCCAGGAGGAATTCACCCCACCGATTCCTTGATGTTAGCCCCC